GACAAGGACAGGGAAAATATAAAGGCATATTATTGTAAACCACTTTGCTACCACTATCGCGTAAAATGCCTATTTAAAATAAGTAAAATAACGAAATATTACATTTTATTTCAACTTTTAAAATTACCACCAACCTGATGCTCCTCTTAAAATCTTATCTGGTGCCGACATCATAAATCTGTGTCCCCTGGGACATTCATATTCAAAGCCCACAAATATTTTCAAAACAAAAACTTCGCCCATTTTACGATAGCGTGTCTTTTCATAAGCCCACTGAGCCGAGTGTTCTAAACGTACTTGCACATCCCAGGGCAGTAAGAAATTCGAGCCCGATAAAAATCCCGATTGAAAATGTTCTTGCAAACCATTACTATGACTGTAAACCGAACTGGAACCCACACAACATAAAGACCAACTGGGAAATTGTGGCAGTAGACCTATAGGACTTTCAGTATGCATCATACCCGGTAAATATTCCGTAGTGGATGGTTGTCTTACAATCGTCCTTTCTTTTTCCTCCTCCTGTGAGTCTTTATCTTTAACTTTGAGTATCAATTCATTTAGAGCTTCCACAGAACTATTTATATCATCATTATCTTGTTCATCTAGATTATTAAGATTCTCCATGGAGACCGAAAGACTTAAATTGGTATGAGTGCCTTGAGAAGCGGTTAAAGGTTGTGAATTGTTAAGAGCAAATTGTTCTTCATCCGGAATGTTGGCTACACAATTAGCTTCCATGTCGTTTTGTTCGTTAATAGGGAGTTTGGGAAAACCAATATCGAATTCAGCCGCTCTAAAGAAAAGTTTTTATTATATTTTTTTAACATCTTTTAATTCCTTTTTCAACTTACCTGTAATCATTAATGGAAGGCTCAAATATGGCGAAATGTATTCTCTTTACTTTGGCACACAAATTACAATTACTGGCCATATATTCGTAAAATTCATAATTAGCATGTCTTATACTATAGGGATCTTCGCGTCTTCCTTGTGTTTTGCCACAATTACATGCAGATATGAATATTAAACGACTGGTATGTTCAGTGGGATCTTTAGCTATATGCTTGGCCCTAGCACATGGATTACCTCTTAAACTGGGATATTCACATTGTTCTTTACCACATTTCCAACAAGTTTCACACATTTCACGTAACTTGGCCTCATTGGTTGCAGTATCAGGACCGCGAGCGTATTTCATGTATAATGTAACCGCCTCTTCGACCTTATGAAGGAGTTATACATATATTTTTTTTTAATTTCAATAGTTTTATAAAATTTAATTAAACTTACCAACTTTTTGTGCACCACACCACTGTAATAAGTTAAAGTAGGATTGTTATACATGGAAAAGGCCTTCTGAAGACCAATATCACAACAGGCCTTAAAAAATCTATTAAAAAAAATGTAATTGTTTTTTAAAAAAAAGTTAAATTTCATAACAAAAAACTTACTCGCTATCATAATTTAAGATTTTATCAAAATTTTCCAAATAAGATTTCTAAAATACAATAGATGAAAATGGTCATCAGTGGAAAATCATACATAAAAAGATCATACTTACATAATCAGGGTCATTGGCCTCAAATGCTTTGTTATCTGGATTTTCTATAAATAGTTTATGCAACATTTTAAAAGTCTCAAACCAAGGTTTAAAAGATAATAGCTAAAAAGAAAGAAAATGTTAAAAAGTATATAAAAAAATATGAATAAATTTAATAATAAAACTCACCACAAAATGATTCTTGCCTTTAAATTTGGTTAAATTATCATTAAAACCCACATCGAAAGCTTGATCTACATGCTCTTTTAAGAAATCTTTAAACTTGCGATTTTTTATATATAAATCCTCCAAAGATTCTGATTTATGTTCACAATTGTTTAAATTCAAAGGTTTGCCAAAGCCCTACAAAAGTAAATTGTAATAAGAAATAAAGCTATATTTTTTTTCTTTACCTTAAAAGGCAGCAGATCATCTAAGTCTTCATCATCTTGAGTAAAATTGGGTTTTTGTATTAATTCTTGTAACATTTCCACAGATTTCAATAAAGGATCTTCTCTTAATTTATGATTTAAATTATAATAAACAAAACGTAAATTGGCGGGTATAGAAAATAAGGAATTATTACTATTATTAACCACCACAAATTCATTGCGCAACATTTTGTAAATATTATCCTCAACATCAAATTCAGATTTTGAAATCGCTTCTTTAGTTTTCTCTGCAATATATAACACTAGTTTTTAAAATTCGGCCGTTAGAGAGTAAGAAACTTACCATGACCATTAGGCAAATTTTCAAATAAAAATAATAGCCTAGGAGAACATAAACGGGCACATTTACCCAGCATAAATCCTGTGCTGGTATTTTTCATTAATTTGGGCAGAAACTTTAAAACATGACGGTCTCTTCAATATAATAAAATAGGTAAATTATAAAATCAAATTAATTTCCTTTGACAAATCCCCATTACCTGATAATCTTCAAAGCTTTAAACATGCCCAACAGTGAGGCATCGAAGGTTACACTTAATTCCACAAACACTATTAAATGACACACCTGTGTCGCAAAGAGAAACATGCGGGCAAAACGATTGCGTATTTTTTGATGAAATGTTAAAAATTGATCAAATGTTTGCTGTTCCAATTCGGCCAAAAGCATTTTTTGCATACAGGCGGCATCGTAAGTGGTCTCGAAATGTAAATATAATATTGATTCCATAGGTTTGTAATAAAATTGTATTTGTCCCTTAAAAAAACAAATTGGATATGTTATACCTATCTGTCTTAAATTCCTTAACAAAATCTTACCTCTTTGGGCTCATGTTTTATTAGACTGGGATGTCGATCTAGTACTTCTAAACCCACCATTTTATTGCAATCGGGAAAAGCCGATTTGCCTATAACACCCACCACTACTAGCTTTTTATCATTTTGCATTAATAATTTACTTGAATTAAAAATTAATAAAATTAGGAAATAATATTGAAAAATCATAGAGCCAAAACATACTTAACATCTTCGGGTATATCCGGATACTGCCAGCGCATATATTCCGGCATTGTTCTTTAATAGAATTAACTTATAATATTATAATTGATTAAAAAATATTTAAAATTTGTTTGATTTAAACAAGAAATTAAAAAAATGTTTAAAATTTCTAATGAATTCAATAATTATCGACAACAATGTATTGATCAGCTGTTGTAGTTTGTTTACATATTAATGCTAATTGATATGAAAAGCCTTTTTTGTTTGTAACGGAAGCAGAGCTGGTAAAAACATTTCAGAATTAACGGATTTTTTATATTTGTATTTAAAAAAAAATTAACAAACATATAGTCCAACTTAGTACAGAAAGAAAGGAACATTGAGTGGTCAAATAATTTTGTTAATTTCTTCATGGTATTATTAATTATTAATAAAACTGTAGTGAAATTTCTGCTTTTTATATTAAGATATATAAAGACAAAATTAAGATGGTCTCAAATAATTAGAACTTACAGCCTGTTTTTCTAAAACAATTTAGTTCTCACACGAACATTTCATTTTATTACGATCAAGTTTAAAATTAGGTTTTTATAAAACATTTGAAAGTTTTCGTTTAAAAATGTCTAAAATGAAATGAGCTTTTTCTATCGTAACAGAACATTATTGCCTACGTATTTCATTTCTGAATTTTTAAATATTTTTTCATGTAGTAATAAGGTGTTTGGTGTTAACCCTAAAAAATAAACAAAAATAAAATAATTTTAGAAAAAAATTGAAATTATGAAAAAATGTTTTTTTAAAAACAACATGAAAATTGTATGCAATGTCTCAAGAAATTTAAAGGTTTGTATTGCGAATTACATTCTGGTTCAAATGGCCACATATTATTACGTATTTTGGTAAAATTTTGGTTGTTTTTTGGGCAAACGAAAGGCCTTTGCCTATCGTCTATTTCTGACATTTCTTTCGTTTATTACGAACGAATTCATTTTCTAAAAACCAAAAATATATGGAAAAATAAAGCTCTTTCGTTGTCACTCACATGAAAATTTATTTTTTCGTTACAAAAACGTAAAGCCAATTTCGTTCGTTATTTTTAAGAACGAAAACAAATTTTCATTTTAGAAAAACAAGCTGTTACTTTTATAGGAATGTGGTTATTATTAGGGTTATATAGTTGAAACGAAAAGTCGACTTTTCGACTTTTTCCATTTTATGAAAAGTCGATTTTTCGACTTTTCGACCTTTTTCATTTATTTAAAAGTCGACTTTTAGACTTTTCGACTTTTAGTATTTTATAAATGGTCGACTTTTCGACTTTTTCCGACTTTTTTCGACTTTTCGACTTTTTCCGACTTTTTTCGACTTTTCGACTTTTCGACTTTTTTCGACTTTTTGCGACTTTTTCCGACTTTTCAATTTTTACGACTTTTTGACTATTTTCGACTTATTTCGACTTTTTTTCGACTTTTTTCGACTATTTTTTTACTTTTTTCGAGTTTTTCCGACTATTTTAGAGTTTTTGACCTCTTTTCCACTTTTTTTAAATTTTCGACTATTTTCGACTTTTTCCGACTTTTCGACTTTTTTCGACTTTTCGACTTTTTTCGACTTTTTTCGACTTTTCGACTTTTCGACTTTCCGACTTTCATTTACAAAGTCGACTTTTCGATTTTTTTCATAGACGATAGTCGAGTTATCGACTTTTTTGGAACAAAATAGTCGACTTCGACTTTTCGACTTTTTTCGACAAAAAGTCGATTGTTCGATTATTCGAAAGTCGATTTATAGAACCCTAGTTATTATTAGAGTTTTAATTTATCTTTAGAATTTTTATATTACTATTTACTTCATTTAACTGTTATACTGAAAATGCAACCTTGCATTGAATGATACATATGAAAGCTGTTTGATATAAATCACTATTTTCCTGCAAACAACGCAAATTTAATTAAGGTAATAATGGCTGCCAAGCTGATTGTAGATTGAACTCGAAAAATGTCAAATTATACATATAAAAAGTATTTTCGGTAGCTTTAAAACGTCAAAATCAATATAAATAACAGAAATTAGTTTCCTTTGATGACACCTTATTAAATTCGCTTTAAAAGCAAACATATGTATTTATTTTGGGAAATTTTAAGAAAATTTGTGTTAAAAACTACATTTTATTAAAAAAAAATCTTAAAAAATCAATTTATACAATAAAAAATATTGTCAATTCATAGGTATTAAACAAATAAAATGGGTTGCGATGGAGGTACTATACCAAGGCGTGATGAGTTGGTGCGCCTTAAAAAGAAACCAGAACAGGTGGGATAACATTTATCAATAAAAAGGAAGCTTGTTTTGGTAAACAATAATTTTTGTTTATTTTTTACTATTTTCAGAAAGACAAAGATGCTGAACGCGAATTTCGTTGGCTGCACTGTGCCCTAACCCAGCAACGTTTACAAGAACCCATTGTTATGTGCGGCCTAGGACGTTTGTATTCTAAACAGAATGTCATTGAACAACTATTGGAAAAGGATAAAATGCCAGAAGCTGCGAAACATATTAAAAACATGAAAGATATTAAACAATTGAATTTAACTCCCAATCCAGCATTTACTGAAGAAGACAAAACAGAGGGTTTGCTAGACACCCGACATGCTCCCTATATCTGCAAGTTAATAGGTTTAGAAATGTCTGGTAAATTCCGTTTTGTGGCCTTATGGTCCTGTGGCTGTGTTATGTCCGAGCGCGCTTTAAAAGAAATTAAAGGCAGCTCAGCGGGTACCTGTCCCATTTGTCAACAAGCATTTGCTGTGGAAGATGTGGTAGTCTTAAATGCCAGCGATGAAGATTTGGAATTGATGAAAGTAAAAATGGAAATGCGTCAGGCTAAAAAGAAAGCTAGTAAGAAGGATAAGAAAGATAAAAAAGCAAAGGCAAATGAAGCAGAAACGCCAGAAATTAAAGAAGAAAACTTGGAAACTAATTTACCCTCAACCAGTAAATCGGCGGCTGCAGAGTTAGCAAATGGTACACAAACTAAAGTAAATGGCACCACAAGTTCATCGTCGGCATCATCTCAAGCAGCGAAAACCAAAATTATTGCCAATCCCAAACGTTTAGGTGTCACATCGGGTGCGTTAGAGGATCCTGAGATTAAACGTTTGAAAACCGATTATAGTGTGGCCAAAGATCCCAAAGCTAGTGATGTTTATAAATCATTATTTACTTCGCATAAGAGTGAACAGGAACAGACGCGGGCTCACTGGGTTACTTATAATCCGTTTTATAATTAATCTTTTTTAATATGTATAGCGTAATATTTCTTAGTTAAGAATCTGTAACAAATTATGGAAAATATAAATAAAAATATAAAATCAAGTCATCAAAACTAGCGAAAAAATACACTTTTTATCTGAAAAAGTTACAGTAATTGTTAATTAAGCTAGCTGAATAAATGTTAATTTTATCATTAATTCAGCTAAAGGAACATTCTGAATAAATTAGATATTTTGAAATATTAATATTCTATTATCTTACAATTTTAGCTGAATTGTAAGATAATTCAGCTAATTATTTTTTTTATTAAAATTCAGCTAGCTGAATGAAAATCTTGTAAAACGAAAACGTTTCTCATAACTTTTTATTTATTGAAAAAACTATTCATTATAATTCAGCGTTTTTAAGCCGCTTTTAATATTTTTCAATATGAACTAAATTTGAAAATCTCTGGAATTATTGTTCAAAATTTTTATTACTTAAATGTTGTTGTAAACTTAATTTATGCAAATTATTTAGCTTAATACTAACTTATTTTCAATAAGAATTTTGCAAATAGCTTAACAAACTTTAAAGAAAGTTTTTAATTTAAATCAATGTTAGCTTAAAAATTAATAAATAATAATTTAGCTTCTTATTCTATATTAAAGTATCAAATATAATAATATATTATAAACAATTATATTGTTAAATTGCTTAAATAAAAGAAATAAATTAATTTAGATTAAATTGAAAAGTTAGTTTTATATTTTGCTTTTTCAGAAAAAGTAAAATTAGTTTTTTTTCGAATTACTGGCGTTTCAAAAAGTTTTAATTAAAAATCTTTCGAAAAACTTAATTTGTATTTTAAAGGAGAAACATATATAAAATTATTAGAAAAAACTTTGAAGCGAATGTTTTATTCTTCATAGTTTTATTTAGAAGAGTGGAATCTAAAATTTTTAATTTAATAACTGTAAATTACTTAACCTAAAATTATTCCTCAGTTTCAACTTCTTCCTCGGCAGCATAATCATCGTAATCATCATATTCGGCACCTTCTAAAAATGGATATTCAGACATTTCAATATCTTTTATATCGGACATAAAGCCGTTATTAACATTGTGATTTAAAGGTATAGTATTATTGGCATCTAACATTTCAATATCATCATTAATTTCTTCATCTTCCAAGTTATCCTCCTCAAATTCAGATTCATTTTCAAATGACGGTTGTTGATTATTTTCAAAGTTTTGTATAGAATTTTGCTGCATATACTGTTGTTCGTCATCTTCTAAAACCTCCTCTTCCTCTATGTCTTCTTGTTCCTCCTCAATACCCAATGTCTGTTGATTTTCTAATTCTTCATAGTCTTGTTGTTGATTGAAATCAGACTGTTCAACTTCTTCTTCCTCCTCCTCCTCCTCTTCTTCGTGTTCCTCTTCTTCCTGTTCTTCATTGATTTGTTCCGGCATTAAAGTATTTTGTAAACTAACATTTTCCTCCTCTTCAATCTCTTCCTCTTCTTCTTCCTCCTCTTCCATTTCTTCTTCCTCATCCAGGTTAGCATCTATTGGTTGGGCACTTTGCATTAGCTGCTGCTGTTGAGCATGCTTCATCATCTGTTGCTGCATTTGCATTAACAATTGCACCTGCTGTAAGTATTGTTGCTCCTGTTGTATGCGCTCCTCTTCGCTGATTTCTTCTGTATTATTGGTTTGTTGATTTTCCTTCATGTTGTGCAGGAGAGCTGCATGCCTTTGCGTTACATGCAAGGCCAAAGAAGTCGCGTCCTGATGCAGTTCTCCACAAACAATACACAACAAAGTTTCATTGGGTACCGGACAGGCCGGTTCCAAACCCTGTTTTTGAGCTTCTACATGCTGTTGTATATGCTTATTAAGATAGGCTGCCTGACTGTAAGATTTACCACAAATATGGCAGGGAAATGGCTTCTCGCCAGAATGTATTTTCATGTGAACACTTAAGCTGGATGCCTGTGTAAAGGATTTACTGCAAAGTTTGCAATTAAAGGGTTTCTCTCCGGTATGTATGCGCATATGTATGTTAAGACTACCAGATTGTGTAAAGGACCGATCACATATGGAGCAGGTGAAGGGTTTCTCACCCATATGACACTTCATGTGTTGCACTAATTCCGAGGAACTGGCAAAAGCATTGCGGCATATGGAACACTGATACACCAACGTTTGATTGTGCATGCGCATGTGTTCCTTAAGTTGAGCTTCGTGTTTAAAACTTTTATCGCATTCTGAACAGGAATAACGGGCGCCATCCTTGTGAGTTTTTAGATGGATTACCAAAGATGTGGAGTTAACAAAACCTTTATCACACAAGTGGCACTGATGGGGTTTCTTAATGGAATGCGATCGTAAATGTACCATTAAACTGCTGGACTGTGTAAAGGCCTTGGAACACAAATCACATTTGTAAGGTTTCTCACCACTGTGAATGCGTATGTGAGTATTTAAACTACCAATATGGGTAAAAGTCTTTTCACATATAGAACACTGAAATGGTTTGTTGGTGATGTGACAGCGCACATGTTTGGACAGATCACCAGCACTGGGAAAACTGGCCTCACAGTGGCTGCATTGAAAACATTTTGGTTCGCCGCTTATTAGAGAAGACATTTCAATGGCTGCCTGTTGGGCAGCACTGCGTCTACCTCTTCCTCTTCTCACTGGCTGGGTCATGAGAGAAGGAGGTATTACAGTATCTGTCAAACCGGGATTTAGGAGAATTATTGAGGTTGATTCTCTTGGATCCGCCACCTTTAGTTGTATAGCATTAGTTTGTGAATTCTGTGAATGCAAAGATACAGCCTCTACTTCTTCATAAGCCGCCTCTTCCATTACCTCCATAGTGCTATTGCCATCCATAGTTAATGGCGGCCTTTCAGCCACCAAACCAGAATCTCTAGTCATCTCATCTTGAGTATTTGTATTACTATTCGTATTGGTTGAACTATCCGAGGAGGATGAAGAAGAGCTCGATGAACTTGTAGAACTAGAATCATCGTCTGAATCTGAATCATCCGAGTCAGAATCATCATCCTCCTCTTGCTCTCCATTTTGTTGATCATTTTGCTGCAGATCTTTATTTATGCCGCCCTCCTCGGGAGCCACCAATTCACACAGTGGCTCAAAAACCCAACTATAATCTTTATCATCATCTAATTCCTCTTCCGATTCTTGTGGTTCTGGCAAATCAGCATGTTTAGTATTAAGATGTTCATACATTAGAAACGGACTTATGAAATACTCTTCACAACACATGCAATGAAATGTTAAATCTGGAGGCTTTTGTGCCGTTGATGTTGGCATTTCTGTTACGTTTCCATTGTTTTTGCTTAAGGCACCTTCTGTGATGGGTATTATAGTTAGAGAAAGCTGTTTATTGTGCTGATTATTTTGTGGCATAGTGTTAACGTATGAATTGATTTGTAAGGCCATGGTAATGCTAAAAGGAGGTTAAAGATTTTAAAATTTTTTAACTAGATTTAAGCGAAAATTGAACTAAAACTAAACTATAAATGAGCTCCAGAACATAAATAAAACACAATTAGAGCAGAACTATCTCTGAAATAGAATTAAAAAAATTGAATTCGAACTGATCTAAAACTGAATTAGAACTAGAACTGAATTAGAACATAAATAGAACTAAACTAGTACTGAAATAGAACTGAACTAAAACTGAACTAGTACTGCTATAGTACTGCACTAGACCTGAACTAGAACTGAACTTGAAATGAACTAGAACTTTGCTAGAACTGAACTAGAACTGAACTAGAACTAGAACTGAACTATAACTGAACTATAACTGAACTATAACTGAACTAGAACTGAACTAGAACTGAACTAGAACTGAACTAGAACTGAACTAGAACTGAACTAGAACTGAACTAGAACTGAACTAGAACTGAACTAGAACTGAACTAAAACTGAACTAGAATTGAACTAGAACTGAACTAGAACTGGACTAGAACTGAACTAGAACTGAACTAGAACTGAACTAGAACTGGACTAGAACTGAACTAGAACTGAACTAGAACTGAACTAGAACTGCACTAGAACTAAACTGGAACTGAACTAGAACTGAGCTAGTACTGCAATAGAACCGAACTAGACTTCAACTGGAACTGAAAAAGAACTGAACTAGAACTGCACTAGAACTGAACCAGAACTGAATTAGAATTGAACTGGAACTGGAAAAAGAAGTGAAATAAAATTAAACAAGACAAAAATATTAAAGAAGTTATTCAATAAAGAGTCAATTTATAAAATTTAGGTAAATTTAAATAACAATTTTATAAATACTCCATAAAACTTTTAAGTTAAAAGAAATTTCTAAAGAACTAAAAACACAATTGATATTACTTGCCACTAAAAATTACTTATGAACACCAAAAATATTCTATATATGTACATACATATGTAATTACAAAGTTATTATCAATTATTAACACATTTTAACGCACTAACATCCTCCCTTAAAAAGCTATTATTAAAGAAAATCTAAAAAAAACCATTAAAAATTTAATAAAAAACAAAAATTTATTATAAAATATATAGGTACTTACATTTACTTTCAACAAAATGTATAAAATTAATACAAATTATCCTTTGTTCTAGAGTTTGGGTATAGATAAAAAATAATTATTTTAATTGGTTGCCATTTATAAAATGCCACACAAAAAAAAGACGCCTGTCTTTTTTTTTTTTGCCTTGTGGATAACAAAACAATTCCTGTTTGTTGATTTTGTTAAAAACACTTTTAAATGTTTAATTTTACAAAAAAATTCTTTTTAACTAATAAATCATTTAATAACAATCTTAGATTTGTTGTTGCCTTTAAATTTCTTGTTAATTTTAATTAATAAAAATCGAAAAAACAATAAATGCAAAAATTGTAACAAAAAAAGGATTTTTTATATGTTGTTTTGTTTACAGTGGTAGTTGTTGTTGTTTGCTGAAGAACTGTCAAAAGACAACAAAAACAACAGCAGTGCTGCCAGATAATGACAACTTTATAACAAATAGAACATTTTTATAACACATTCAGGCAAAAAATACAACTGTGTTTTCTTATTGGAATGTCATTTAGTCCGCCGTTTTTATTTAGTTGAGTGTAAAAGTATCTTTAGTAGCTGGTGTTAAATTAATAAATTATATTGTTTAATTATGTGTTTCGAAGCTAAAAAGTTCATAAAAATATAGTTAAATAAATGGTTAATAGGTGTAAATAGAAATTTGGTGGCAAAGTGTAAAATTTAATATGAGAAACTTGTTACAAATATTTGGTAGTCGTCGGCTTTTTTCTTGCAAATTTGTCTTTTCCCTTTTTTGCATCAGTTTTGCGTGTTGTCAAAAGATGGCGGTTTTTTTTATTGTAGCTAGGTTCCGGTCAACTAGTGAAAATAGGGAAAAGTTAAAATGTAGAATAAATGAGAGTCGATAAAATAATGTCAAAGTCTGTGTTTTTGGTCTATAATAAAAAGTAACGACTATTTTTAATTTGAAATATGAAAATTAAGTAAATAAATGAGAAATGTGAAATATTTAGATAATTTGTATATGGTAAATCAAATTAAAAGATGCAAAATTTAAATATGAAACTTAATAATTGTTGAAAAAAGAAAAAAATTATTCTAAAAAAATTAAAAATTTAAATTAAATTTGAGAAAAATATGGCCATTTTTTATAATAAAAAATCAAGAAATAAAGTGAAATTATGCAAATCCAAATGTATATATGAAAAATAAAAAATATGTAAATGTAAATCCACTTTCAAGTTAGTACATAGAAGTAGGTAAGTTGAATATTAATTTTATTATTAATTTTAAAATTTTTATGAAAATATGAAAACACTAATATTTTCCATCTAAATCAAATTTAAATTAGAGTTTTGAATGAAACGATGTTAGTTGAGATTAAACTTTCAAATTATCAAATAAAGCCGATGCTACACTACTGCAACACTACAACTCTGTTTTTCTTAATACAAAGTCGTTACAAATTTGATTAGTTCTAGTTCTGTTCTATTCTATTTTTGTTCTAGTTCTGTTCCAGTCTGTTATAGTTCTGTAGTTCGTTCTAGTTCTGTTCTAGTTCTGTTCTAGTTCTGTTCTAGTTCTGTTCTAGTTCTGTTCTAGTTCTGTTCTAGTTCTGTTCTAGTTCTGTTCTAGTTCTGTTCTAGTTCTGTTCTAGTTCTGTTCTAGTTCTGTTCTAGTTCTGTTCTAGTTCTGTTCTAGGTTCTAGTTCTAGTTCTAGTTCTAGTTCTGTTCTAGTTCTGTTCTAGTTCTGTTCTAGTTTCTGTTCTAGTTCTGTTCTAGTTCTGTTCTAGTTCTGTTCTAGTTCTGTTCTAGTTCTGTTCTAGTTCTGTTCTAGTTCTGTTCTAGTTCTGTTCTAGTTCTGTTCTAGTTCTGTTCTAGTTCTGTTCTAGTTCTGTTCTAGTTCTGTTCTAGTTCTGTTCTAGTTCTGTTCTTTCTAGTTCTGTTCAAGTCCTGTTCTAGTTCTGTTCAAGTCCTGTTCTAGTTCAGTTCTGGTTCAGTTCTAGTTCAGTTCTAGTTATAGTTCTAGTTCTAGTTCTAGTTCTAGTTCAGTTCTAGTTCTAGTTCTAGTTCTAGTTCTAGTTCAGTCTAGTTCTAGTTCAGTTCTAGTTCTAGTTCAGTTCTAGTTCTAGTTCAGTTCAGTTCTAGTTCTAGTTCAGTTCTAGTTCGTAGTTCAGTTCTAGTTCAGTTCTAGTTCAGTTCTAGTTCAGTTCTAGTTCAGTTCTAGTTCAGTTCTAGTTCAGTTCTAGTTCAGTTCTAGTTCAGTTCTAGTTCAGTTCTAGTTCAGTTCTAGTTCAGTTCTAGTTCAGTTTCTAGTTCAGTTCTAGTTCAGTTCTAGTTCAGTTCTAGTTCAGTTCTAGTTCAGTTCTAGTTCAGTTCTAGTTCAGTTTCTAGTTCAGTTCTAGTTCAGTTCTAGTTCAGTTCTAGTTCAGTTCTAGTTCAGTTCTAGTTCAGTTCTAGTTCAGTTCTAGTTCAGTTTCTAGTTCAGTTCTAGTTCAGTTCTAGTTCAGTTTCTAGTTCAGTTCTAGTTCGTTCTAGTTCAGTTCTAGTTCAGTTCTAGTTCAGTTTCTAGTTCAGTTCTAGTTCAGTTCTAGTTCAGTTCTAGTTCAGTTCTAGTTCAGTTCTAGTTCAGTTCTAGTTCAGTTCTAGTCATTCTAGTTCTTCTAGTTCAGTTCTAGTTCAGTTCTAGTTCAGTTCTAGTTCAGTTCTAGTTCAGTTCTAGTTCAGTTCTAGTTCAGTTCTAGTTCAGTTCTAGTTCAGTTCTAGTTCAGTTCTAGTTCAGTTCTAGTTCAGTTCTAGTTCAGTTCTAGTTCAGTTCTAGTTCAGTTCTAGTTCAGTTCTAGTTCAGTTCTAATTCTGTTCTAGTTCTGTTCTAGTTCTGTTCTAGTTCTGTTCTAGTTCTGTTCTAGTTCTGTTCTAGTTCTGTTCTAGTTCTGTTCTAGTTCTGTTCTAGTTCTGTTGCTAGTCTGTTCTAGTTCTGTTCTAGTTCTGTTCTAGTTCTGTTCTAGTTCTGTTCTAATTCTGTTCTAGTTCTGTTCTAGTTCTGTCTAGTTCTGTTAGTTCTGTTTGTTCTAGTTCTAGTTCTAGTTCTGTTCTAGTTCTGTTCTAGTTCTGTTCTAGTTCTGTTCTAGTTCTGTTCTAGTTCTGTTCTTCTGTTCTGTTCTAGTTCTGTTCTAGTTCTGTTCTAGTTCTGTTCTAGTTCTGTTCTAGTTCTGTTCTAGTTCTGTTCTAGTTCTGTTCTAGTTCTGTTCTAGTTCTGTTCTAGTTCTGTTCTAGTTCTGTTCTAGTTCTGTTCTAGTTTGTTCTAGTTCTGTTCTAGTTCTGTTCTAGTTCTGTTCTAGTTCTGTTCTAGTTCTGTTCTAGTTCTGTTCTAGTTCTGTTCTAGTTCTGTTCTAGTTCTGTTCTAGTTCTGTTCTAGTTCTGTTCTAGTTCTGTTCTAGTTCTGTTCTAGTTCTGTTCTAGTTCTAGTTCTGTTCTATGTTCTAGTTCGTTCTAGTTCTGTTCTAGTTCTGTTCTAGTTCTGTTCTAGTTCTGTTCTAGTTCTGTTCTAGTTCTGTTCTAGTTCTGTTCTAGTTCTGTTCTAGTTCTGTTCTAGTTCTGTTCTAGTTCTGTTCTAGTTCTGTTCTAGTTCTGTTCTAGTTCTGTTCTAGTTCTGTTCTAGTTCTGTTCTAGTTTGTTCTAGTTCTGTTCTAGTTCTGTTCTAGTCTGTTCTAGTTCTGTTCTAGTTCTGTTCTAGTTCTGTTCTAGTTCTGTTCTAGTTCTGTTCTAGTTCTGTTCTAGTTCTGTTCTAGTTCTGTTCTAGTTCTGTTCTAGTTGTTCTAGTTCTGTTCTAGTTCTGTTCTAGTTCTGTTCTAGTTCTGTTCTAGTTCTGTTCTAGTTCTGTTCTAGTTCTGTTCTAGTTCTGTTCTAGTTCTGTTCTAGTTCTGTTCTAGTTCTAGTTCTGTTCTAGTTCTGTTCTAGTTCTGTTCTAGTTCTAGTTCTGTTCTAGTTCTGTTCTAGTTCTGTTCTAGTTCTGTTCTAGTTCTGTTCTAGTTCTGTTCTAGTTCTGTTCTAGTTCTGTTCTAGTTCTGTTCTAGTTCTGTTCTAGTTTGTTCTAGTTCTAGTTCTGTTCTAGTTCTGTTCTAGTTCTGTTCTAGTTCTGTTCTAGTTCTGTTTAGTTCTGTTCTAGTTCTGTTCTAGTTCTGTTCTAGTTCTGTTCTAGTTCTGTTCTAGTTCTGTTCTAGTTCTGTTCTAGTTCTGTTCTAGTTCTGTTCTAGTTCTGTTCTAGTTCTGTTCTAGTTCTGTTCTAGTTCTGTTCTAGTTCTGTTCTAGTTCTGTTCTAGTTCTGTTCTAGTTCTGTTCTAGTTCTGTTCTAGTTCTGTTCTAGTTCTGTTCTAGTTCTGTTCTAGTTCTGTTCTAGTTCTGTTCTAGTTCTGTTCTAGTTCTGTTCTAGTTCTGTTCTAGTTCTGTTCTAGTTCTGTTCTAGTTCTGTTCTAGTTCTGTTCTAGTTCTGTTCTAGTTCTGTTCTAGTTCTGTTCTAGTTCTGTTCTAGTTCTGTTCTAGTTCTGTCTAGTTCTGTTCTAGTTCTGTTCTAGTTCTGTTCTAGTTCTGTTCTAGTTCTGTTCTAGTTCTGTTCTAGTTCTGTTCTAGTTCTGTTCTAGTTCTGTTCTAGTTCTGTTCTAGTTTCTGTTCTAGTTCTGTTCTAGTTCTGTTCTAGTTCTGTTCTAGTTCTGTTCTAGTTCTGTTCTAGTTCTGTTCTAGTTGTGTTCTAGTTCTGTTCTAGTTCTGTTCTAGTTCTGTTCTAGTTCTGTTTTAGTTCTGTTCTAGTTCTGTTTAAGTTCTGTACTAGTTCTCTTCTAGTTCTGTTCTCGTTCTGTTCTAGTTCTGTTCTGGTTCTGTTCTAGTTCTGTTCTAGTTCTGTTCTAGTTCTGTTCTAGTTCTGTTCTAGTTTTGTTCTAGTTCTGTTCTAGTTCTGTTATAGTCCTAGTTTTGGATCAGTCTAGTTTCTCTAAATTAAAATATCGAATAAATTAATAAATTTTTTCCATTAAATGATTTATTTAAAATATATTTTACAATTTTATTACAGAAAAAAAAATGAAAATAAAAACAATCAGACTATTTAAATTATAATAAATTAAATTAAAAACATACAACTAACTGGTTAAATATACAAAATTAAAATAAAATTAAAACTATAAATAAAATATATTTTTTTTTACGTTATATCAGTAAATGGACAATGTCGAACATAGGGTACATCTAAACAGTAACAACCTCTGGCGCTAAAATAAAAAAGTGAACATTTTTATTTTGTTATAAAGAAATATTGATATAATACTCACTTATCGGGGGCATCGTTGCCCATGTAGTACTCTTTAATTTGCGCTACCAACTCAAATGGATTATTTTTTGTTATAGGCAGTCTTTTGGGACCAGTGATATCTACACAACCATTTGGGCAAGGTACACCTAAGTATTTTTTATGTTTAAATGTGGCTGAAGCCAGATAACATATACTTAAGAAATGGGAACATCTAGCACGTCCTAAAATAATAAAGATGTAATGTTGTAATATTTAAAAAATGATAAGAAGATCTTACTTATAGGATTTCCTTTACAATAGGGCTGTAGTCTTCCACCATTTAAACAGTAATTCAAATGTCCCGTATTATCTTCCAGACCCAGAAATCCAGCATTTGTATGTAATATTTGTATTACATTGGCATCATCCATTGATAAACGAAAACGATTGGGTTTTTTGCGCTCGATTAAGGGTCTGGCTGGATCCAGACCAATAATTCTGTATTGTTTAATACTTAAGTGATTGCTCACCATGCCACAGATATGGGCACCTAATGAATGACCAACACAAGTGATTTTTTCTCGAGCCGCACCGTGATGCGTAAGAAAGGAATATATCTGGAAAAGAATAATGAAATAATGCTATTCAAAATTCTAAATTAAATTTTGTATTAAAAAATCTTTTTTCACTTACCTGGGCCGTGCATTGTGCTGTCAAACGGGTATTTATTAAAGCACTCAAATAACAGGGATACTGCGTCAATGGCCTCCAGTCGACAGTGATGACATTAAAATCTCTAGATAGATACGCTTAAAAATTAAACACAAAATTTTAATTAATATAATTTATATTTTTATATGTTTAACTACTCACTTACCATCCCTTAAAAACTGCAAATGCCTATCGATGGCAGTGCCATTAAAGCCATGGACTATGAAAACTGTCTCGCGATGTTTACTGAAACCACCTTGATATAATGACAATGGATTGTGTATATTCAATGCAATACCATGGCGTGACGATTTCCTATGTAAAAGAAAATTTTGAAAAAAAAAAATAAAAATATTAAAGAAAATTTTGTAAACAAATATGTGGTATAGTTAATATTTGTTTTTATAATAAGTAACTAATACATGTCTTCTCAAATAACTTATTTTATTGAAATTATAGCCTAGTTTTCGTTTTTCATTTCTTCTTTTCTCCAACATACATATTTATTACAATTTATTTATAAATATTTTAATATTCAAAACTTGCATTATAAAACAAATATCAATGACTTTGATAACATGCACATGCGCGTAATGATTATAAGCAATTTTATTTAATTCAGTTGTGGTTTCATTTTCTTTTTTATTCATTGTTCACTGAGCGATTATAATATGTTACAGCGCTATGGTACGGATGGTATTATGAGTTTGAGCTAGTGTTTGAATCACACAAACATGGATTTAGTGCCACTCTAGTTCAGTTCTAGTTCAGTTCTAGTTCAGTTTTAGTTCAATTCTAGTTCAGTTCTGGTTCAGTTCTGGTTCAGTTCTAGTTCAGTTCTAGTTCTAGTTCAGTTCTAGTTCAGTTCAGTTCTAGTTTAGTTCTAGTCAGTTCTAGTTCAGTTCTAGTTCAGTTCTAGTTCAGTTCTAGTTCAGTTCTAGTTCAGTTCTAGTTCAGTTCTAGTTCAGTTCTAGTTCAGTTCTAGTTCAGTTCTAGTTCAGTTCTAGTTCAGTTCTAGTTCAGTTCTAGTTCAGTTCTAGTTCAGTTTTAGTTCAGTTCTAGTTTCAGTTCTAGTTCAGTTCTAGTTCAGTTCTAGTTAAGTTCTAGTTCAGTTCTAGTTTCAGTTCTAGTTCAGTTCTAGTTCAGTTCTAGTTCAGTTCTAGTTCAGTTCTAGTTCAGTTCTAGTTCAGTTCTAGTTCAGTTCTAGTTCAGTTCTAGTTCTAGTTCTAGTTCAGTTCTAGTTCAGTTCTAGTTCAGTTCTAGTTCAGTTCTAGTTCAGTTCTAGTTCAGTTCTAGTTCAGTTCTAGTTCAGTTCTAGTTCAGTTCTAGTTCAGTTCTAGTTCAGTTCTAGTTCAGTTCTAGTTCAGTTCTAGTTCAGTTCTAGTTCAGTTCTAGTTCAGTTCTAGTTCAGTTCTAGTTCAGTTCTAGTTCAGTTCTAGTTCAGTTCTAGTTCAGTTCTAGTTCAGTTCTAGTTCAGTTCTAGTTCAGTTCTAGTTCAGTTCTAGTTCAGTTCTAGTTCAGTTCTAGTTCAGTTCTAGTTCAGTTCTAGTTCAGTTCTAGTTCAGTTCTAGTTCAGTTCTAGTTCAGTTCTAGTTCAGTTCTAGTTCAGTTCTAGTTCAGTTCTAGTTCAGTTCTAGTTCAGTTCTAGTTCAGTTCTAGTTCAGTTCTAGTTCAGTTCTAGTTCAGTTCTAGTTCAGTTCTAGTTCAGTTCTAGTTCAGTTCTAGTTCAGTTCATTTCAGTTCTAGTTCAGTTCTAGTTCAGTCTAGTTCAGTTCTAGTTCAGTTCTAGTTAGTTCTAGTTCATTAGTTCAGTTCTAGTTCATCTAGTTCAGTTCTAGTTCAGTCTCGTTCAGTTTAGTTCAGTTCTAGTTCAGTTCTAGTTCAGTTCTAGTCAGTTCTAGTTCAGTTTAGTTCAGTTCTAGTCAGTTCTAGTTCAGTTTAGTTCAGTTCTAGTTCAGTTCTAGTTCAGTTCTAGTTCAGTTCTAGTTCAGTTCTAGTTCAGTTCTAGTTCAGTTCTAGTTCAGTTCTAGTCAGTTCCTAGTTCAGTTCTATTTCAGTTCTAGTTCAGTTCTAGTTCAGTTCTAGTTCAGTTCTAGTTCAGTTCTAGTTCAGTTCTAGTTCAGTTCTAGTTCAGTTCTAGTTCGTCTAGTTCAGTTCTAGTTCAGTTCTAGTTCAGTTCTAGTCAGTTCTAGTTCAGTTCTAGTTCAGTTCTAGTTCAGTTCTAGTTCAGTTCTAGTTCAGTTCTAGTTCAGAGTTTCTAGTTCAGTTCTAGTTCAGTTCTAGTTCAGTTCTAGTTCAGTTCTAGTTCAGTTCATTTCAGTTCTAGTTCAGTTCTAGTTCAGTTCTAGTTCAGTTCTAGTTCAGTTCTAGTTCAGTTCTAGTTCAGTTTCTAGTTCAGTTCAGTTCAGTTTAGTCAGTTCTAGTTCAGTTCTAGTTCAGTTCTAGTTCAGTTCTAGTTCAGTTCTAGTTCAGTTCTAGTTTCAGTTCTAGTTCAGTTCTAGTTCAGTTCTAGTTCAGTTCTAGTTCAGTTCTAGTTCAGTTCTAGTTCAGTTCTAGTTCAGTTCTAGTTTCAGTTCTAGTTCAGTTTCTAGTTTCAGTTCTAGTTTCAGTTCCTAGTTCAGTTCTAGTTCATTACTAGTTCTTCTAGTTCAAGTTCTAGTTCAGTTCGAGTTCAGTTCTAGTTCGTTCTATGTTCAGTTCTAAAGTTCAGGTTGCTAGTTTCAGTTCCTAGTTCAGTTCTAGTTCAGTTCTAGTTCAGTTCTAGTTCATGTTCTAGTTCAGTTCTAGTTCAGTTCTAGTTCCGTTCTAGTTCAGTTCTAGTTCAGTTCTAGTCAGTTCTAGTTCAGTTCTAGTTCGTTCTAGTTCAGTTAGTTCAGTTCTAGTTCAGTTCTAGTTCAGTTCTAGTTCAGTTCTAGTTCAGTTCTAGTTCAGTTCTAGTTCAGTTCTAGTTCAGTTCTAGTTCAGTTCTAGTTCGTCTAGTTCAGTTTTCGTTCAGTCTATTCAGTTCTAGTTCAAGTTCTAGTTCAGTTCTAGTTCAGTTCTAGTCAGTTCTAGTTCCGTTCTAGATTCAGTTCTAGTTCAGTTCTAGTTCAGTTCTAGTCAGTTCTAGTTCAGTTCTAGTTCAGTTCTAGTTCAGTTCTAGTTAGTTCAGTTATAGTTCAGTTCTAGTTCAGTTCTAGTTCAGTTCTAGTTCAGTTCTAGTTCAGTTCTAGTTCAGTTCTAGTTCAGTTCTAGTTCAGTTCTAGTTCAGTCTAGTTCAGTTCTAGTTCAGTTTAGTTCAGTCTAGCTTCAGTTCTAGTTCAGTTCTAGTTTCAGTTAGTTCAGTTCTAGTTCAGTTTCTAGTTCAGTTCTAGTTTCAGTTCTAGTTCAGTTCTAGTTCAGTTCTAGTTCAGTTCTAGTTCAGTTCTAGTTCTAGTTCAGTTCTAGTTCAGTCAGTTCAGTTCTAGTTCAGTTCTAGTTCAGTTCTAGTCAGTTCTAGTTCAGTTCTAGTTCAGTAAGTCCCTTCGGTGTAGTAAATCATATTGTTCTCCATGACCAACAACAATTGATTTTATGTTAAAAACAGTTGTAGTTCCAATTATTGTTTTTGTATTTTGCGAGCAGCTCATGTTTCTATTATTTATTGTTATTTTTATAACAATTTATTTATTGTTTCTTTCTTTGCTAAACGTTTGCAATGCGTTTTTATTTGATGTTAATGTGCTTTTGGTTTTAAAAACATTGCGTGTCAATTTTATTAAATCTGTTACAATTTACTTAAAGTTCATTAACAACTTGGAATATTTGTATATTTTTGCAATAAAACATTTTCGTCAAAAGTGTAAGCAACAGTTTCTGTTGTCAGTCAATTAATTATTTTATCTTTGATTATAATTTTTATTACAGTTTTTTTTATTAGAAGAAAGTTTAAATATGTACATGAAAAAATTTGACAAGAAATAACAGCAAGTGATTTAAAATAAATTTTGTGCGATTATGTCAAAAAATAACAAAAACTAAATAAAGGCAATTATGAATATTTAGTTTTTGTACTTGATGGATAGAAACAGCAAATTTGAACATTTCCTGTACAATAATATAATCTTTAAAATAGCCTAATTAACTTAACAATGACGGCCGTTGTGAAAGTGACAGTATTAATGCAAATAATGACAATTTTATAAACATTTGATGTTAATATCGATTTCAATAATTCTATAATAAATTTCTAATTCTCTTCATAATTTCTAACATGTTTTTAAGTGTGTCAGCAGTGAAAAAATACACAAAAAATTCAAATAGATTTCCAAACAGCTTCCAAATATTACGCACAAAATACTATCATCAATTTAAGAAGGATATAGCAGGTTTTTATTAAAAACAAAATTGACCTAGAAAAAAAAAACTTAAATATATATTTTCTGTCAATAGAGTGGCTATTGTGGTTTCCATTAACAACCAGTCTTTAAAATGGCTCAATATAAAAGTCCACGAAATTCATGGTCAATAGATGTGAGCCAACTAACAAATAAACGTCTATGGCGAAAATGTAAGTGGAATTGTTTAGCTATTCGGTGGCCAGTATGCACTTATGTGAGTTGCAAGTAATAGTTTAATAATCAAGTTTTTCTTGATTTGTTTTGTTAAATTGTTTATCTAAAATACTTTTAAATGAAATTTATACAGTTGGCAAAAGGAAGTTTTCGTAAAAGATAAATGTTTGAGAACTATGAAGGCGTTAGTAAAAGTTTGATTTGAGTTGTTTCATTGAAAGTTTCTTTTCAGTAAAAGGAGTTTTTAATTGAGATAAACGAATACATTATACAGATTTTCAGAGAAAAATTGCAAGAATATCTACTAGACGATACAATTTAAATTTTAGCTGTAGAAATATTTATTTAGTTTAGAGTTTCTAATCAAGTTATTGTGACTGAAATTAAAAGGTTAGTAAATAGTAAGAGTCCAAGTTAGACGGATCGCAGGTCCCCTTCCCAACGGAGGGTGGAGCTCTAACTAACTAACTAACTAACTAACTACTAACTAACTAACTAACTAACTAACTAACTAACTAACTAACTAACTAACTAACTAACTACTACTAACTAACTAACTACTAACTAACTAACTAACTCACTAACTAACTAACTAACTAACTAACTACGACTAACTAACTAACTAACTAACTAACTAACTAACTAACTAACTACTAACTAACTAACTACTACACTAACTAACTAACTAACTAACTAACTAACTACTAACTAACTAACTAACTAACTAAACTAACTAACGTAACTAACTAACACTAACTAACTAACTAACTAACTAACTAACTA